CTTCCAGAACCCTGTGGAAAAATGTGGAAAATACAAAATTGGCAGGACACCAGCATGTCTGAAAACATCTGAAACTGGGTGTGTCATGCACTTAAAAAAAAAAAAACATTCCATCCAATGGCTTTGAAATCGTAAATTTCTGGAGAAACCTATTGTGAATCTGTCCTCTTTTATCTCCGTTCCCATGATAAATTATATATTTATAATTATTTATATATCATTGTATTTCCATTGTGTGTTTTTTTAAACCCCCAAACCCCATTTGATAAATAAAATCCCTCTATTTAATAGATTGACTCCCCATTGTTGATGCTTAGACTCCAATATACTCCAACCTTTGGGGTTAAAATATTTAGATCCCCTGATCCCCAGAAAAAAACCCTTGATGATTGGTAAATCCCCATGTCAAATCTCCATGGAGATAGGTCAAATCCCCATGTTACCTGGCGGCGTTTCTCATCGCTGGCTCTCCGTCGGGCTCGGGCCACTGCCTTGAAAGCAATGGATGGGGTGGGTCGTCGGATCGTGGATCGTGTCACTTTTAGTGTAGCCTCAGCTAATCAAAATAGGTGATTTTCCATTGCCATGTTTGAGTACCGGAGTTGTTCATCCTAATCATCATTAATCATCCTATTCAGTTGTTGTTGCTTCCAGTACGTAACTATAGTAATACAACCGGCCATTCCGTCAAGGGATCCGAAAGGGATCCTTGAGGCGCCAACGGCGACCACTTCAGGGGATTCTTCCCTTGCGGTGCTTCGTGCGCGCATCCTTGGCATATGGGTCTCCGGGAGTACCAACCCACAAATGGTTTGTCACTTTCAAGCCTTAAACTTAAACCACCGGTTACCCTCTGGTAATTTAACATAGCTATTGAAAATGGCCATTTATAGTGGATTTACCCATTAAAAATGGTGATTTGCCATAGCTATGTTAGTTTACCACCGGTTAACTACATCTAAATCCGCCCGCACCGAAGGTGCTGGAGCGTGATCGTCCGGATGGCACTCGTAAAAGGTTACAGGTTTACCTGGGGGGGGGGGCATTTTTCGGCCAAAACCTCCTGTTTTTGATAGGTCGTGACGCTCGCCTTCAAAAAACACTGTAAAAAACAGTACGGAAGACACCTGTTCGTGAACGCGCCCGTCCAAAATCGGCAAGCGAAAAGTGAAAAAAAAAACCGTGTTTTTCAACTTTTTGACCTCAATTTTTTGGTTTGCAACATCTTTTTTTGCGGTTCCGCAGGTGGCCTGGCCCGGAGGCGGATTTTTGAGTTTTTGGACCCGTTTTCGGACTGATTTTCGTCGTTTTGTGATAGCAGAAACACTGGTTTTTACAGTGTTTTTCTGTTTTCTGCATGCTTGACGGCTAGCTTCAAAACTTCCAAAAACCTCGTGAAAACATCGTAAATACCAGTGTTTTTTGACGTTGGTTAAAAAAACACTGTAAATTACAGTGTTTTTGGCCACCTGACCCTCAAAAACCATGGTATTTGCAGTGGTTTCTGCTTCTCACCGCGCAAAAACACTGTAAATAACAGCAATTTCGCCGTTTTTTCATGTTTTTCGTTATTTTTTGAACTGCGTTGGTCCGCTATACATGGCTATCAAATTCTTCGCGTTTTTTTTTTCCGACAATCAGTACTTTCGGATGTTTTTGGTCTCAATGGCCGACATCATTGGCAGTTACGATGCGGTGCGGGCGGTTGCCGTCGCGAAGCGACGTGAATATACGGACTTTTTAATGTAGACTAATAGACTACCTCCAGGAAGGCCTTTCTTGGCCTGCCTGGCCATTTAAACATACGGAATCCAATTTATTCAAATATACATTTAAATTTATAAAATCATTTAAATAATTTTAAATATACGGATGGAACTGGTGTTTCATACTACAGGGGCCACAAGTGGTCTGCCCCTCCACATAATCATCCATTGAGGTCGATCCCTCAGTTCCAATCGATGGCTTTGTCTAAAAGCAGAGCACCTCATGGTTTTTGATAATTTTTGAGTTCACCATAATGAGTAATAAAATGAGTGGTTTTCATGAAGGTTCCCATTTAATGGCTTAAAATATAGTACTCCCCAATGATCCCCAATGTATTTCAGGAGAAATCATCAAAGAACCATCATTTATCACTTGTGTCTCCATGTGATGGCTAAAACATCTAAAACTCATATGAATGGTGGCTACATCCCCAGTAACCCCCCAAAAAAATCACCCGACGTCATGTTTTCCAAAAACATCCAAAAACACTGAGGTGCCCCGACCCTTTGTCTGTCGAGTCCCTTTGTCCCTGCAGGCCATGAATGGAGAGAGCCAAGGCAAAAATGCGGGGCTTGGACAACCAAGAGAAGTTGGGTTATGTATGGTTATGTTGGATTGATGGATTGAAGATGAGTTCCATATAGTTCCATAAGTTTTTACAGAAAGTTGACTTCACCAGACATCTTTTGCCCTCCAAACAATCTGGGTGTGAGCCGAAATCGGGTGCACTGGAAATGACCTGTGAATTTGAGCTTTTCATGGCTCACCTGGCTCGATTGTGACCCATTGTGACCCATTGTGACCCATTGTGACCGCGCCTTGGCCGGCACAGATCTGGCTCTCGCAACCTGTGGCGATTTCATTGGGACCCGGGTGTTAAACGCTGCCCAGCCTATCTCTTGACCTTTGCAGGACTTGAATCATTTTGTATCTTAGAATATCTTGGATTGCGTGGGGAAGACTGCTTGGACGAACGCTGGGCAGCCCCATCTACCCTGCAAGACCAGCACTCCCAGACCTGTCTTGCCGTGGCAGCTTTGCTTGTCGGCTGACGCTCTGCTGAGCGCCGCTCATCCAAACCTGAGATCGTTTCCTTCAATTCGGCCATCGTACCACTTATATTGCAACCTATGACAATGGCTTGATCCCGTGGGGAAAACATGAACAAACTTGAAGACGAAAGGCATTTAAAACGAGTTGCTGGCTTGGCAAAATCCATCTCTAAGGCTTAAACGCAACAGGAATCTTTGCATGAAATCCTTGCATAGCTTGGACTCCTCTGGCAGAATAAAGTCCATCACCTTACCGACATGGTCCCGTCGTTGGCAAATGGGACTGTCATGAATGATCCACAAACGGAAACACACCCTTTGACAAGATTTGTTCCAAACACTCTGGCTGGCACCCTTCTGCTTGCAGGCGAATCAGAACGGGCTAGGCCTCCGGAAGCAATCACCAAACTAGTTCATCCACAAACAATACCGAAAAAAACAAACATTCCAACCCAGTGGATGAACTCAGCCTGTGCTTTGAGGCTGCGGTGTTTGCACGGTCCTCCATATCAAGATATATCAAACAACGTAAAGCGGCGGAGTGAGGTGTCAAGGGCCCAATGGAAAGCTGGATCTTAGTTTTTGATTGCTTGATTCTGTTTGCACATAGCATTGCAAAATGTGAATTAATGGATTGTTATGTTCTGTTGGAGTGAGGAACAACGTTATCATCATTGTAGTGGACGCACGCTACCATCAAGCTCCCATCTTACAATGGGCGATAATCCGATAGAGATTCAATTATGTTCGAAAAAGGGAATGTGTTGTTGCTACTGATCGCAAGTTACATTCTTTCGCTGTGGATCACTTTGGAGTCGTTGCTATACTCATAACTCAAAACTTTTACGAAAAAAACAGGTGACGTTGGGGTTACATGTCTCTCAAATGCCCTTCAACCTGCCAATTTGCCATTGCCTTGTGGGTTTTTCTTGTGGCTGGTTTCAACCCAACATTCCAGGCATGGAATGTTTCAAACCAACCAGTGCGTTTCTCATCGAACCCTTGCAGCGTCCTGTACTTTGCCAGGAAATCTCGCAGCCAGTCTATTGAGGGCTCATCAGCCACCTCACAAGGGCCAACAACCATCCTTTTCTGCGGGGTCGTGTCGGGTCGTTGCCAAGGTAGCTGTAATTGTCCCAGAAAGAGACATGGTGCCAATATGTGCCAATGGACCCACACTGGTCATTTTTCAGCATCCAAGCCCAATTCTCGAGCTTCACCCCAGATGTTGATCGTTTCGTCCCCAATTTCTGCTGTGCCCATGTTTCTTGGTTCAATCTTAACCCATTCCCCGTTTTGATCAGCGGACTCACCGGACCCAGCCTCCAACCAAGCATGGCTGGACTTTGGCCTCGGCTGGAAGTTGGTTCATACTTGGTAGGTTGGCTATGAGTAATATGTAGAACATGGCAATAATCCCCAATAACCAGGTAGTATAACTCCTTACAATAGCAGATCAATCCTGTTGATTATAGGGGATTCTTAGATAGCAACGATGATTTTAGTTTTTAGTAATATGTAACAATATGTAACACATACAGGAGCAAAATAGGAATTGCTTCTAATAACCCCTGCTTCTAACATGTTATAATAATCCCCTACAATCATCCTTTGGTCATCACAGGGACCCACGCGGAGCCCGTAGAGCCCCTTGCGATCTTCGAGGGGGCGAAGAACCTGGTGAAGCTGTGTCCGAAAATGAGTTCACCCATAAAATGGTGAGTGAACCGATACAAGTTCCAATTCTAATTCAGATTGTGGTTGTACCACGTTGAACCCACAAAAAAGTATATCAAAAATTTTGATTCAACGGATAAACATGGTGGTTTTTCACCATGTTGTTCAGCCAATAAAATCTGCCGATTTTTTTCATGATTCATGGTGATTGAACCCATCAGAACTGTGGTCCAAACAAAAAATGGTGGATGTAAAATGATGTAAAATGATTTAAACATATTCAATCCATCAATCTGCCCTGAGTTTGTCCAGAAATGGAGGTATAGCATCAAGCCATTGCCATGGTAATTATTTACTAATTCCAACGGAATATGATGATTCACCCCATTTTGGAAGACAGCCTACTTGATCCCCTGGAGCTGGTCATCTCAGAGGTAAACCGTGCCGTCCCTGCCTTTACACTTCGACCAAGATCTCGAACCAAACCTGTCAAATTGATAGATTTTATGGTAACTGCCGGACTTCCCAGCATCTGCCAATGTCAAACGTACCACACATCGGACCTCCTAGCGTCATCTTCGTGGAAGGAAGAGGGTGACGGCGGGTCTCGCGCATCTTCCAAATCCTTGCAACCGAGAGGAACCGACCCACCAAGCCGCAAGCGACCAACCAGGCCGGCTCCACCAATAAATCCAAAGTCATCTTGTTCGGCCATGTGGCACGTCAAGACTTTGAGGCTCAATGGCAACAAGCGACCCAATATTGGTCAAACCCAGGCAAAGCAAGCATCTAAATTTACAGTAATGAAACACAGCAAGTCACCAAGTCAGCCAAACCACAGTACTCACAAGATTGGCTGATGTTCTGGACTACCTGCTTCTTTGCTGTGTGGATGGGAAAAACTTGGTGAACTTAGCAAACTTTTTAGTACCAGTAAGTGCCACAACAAAATGATTCATGGAATGCTTGAAAAACAAAATGAACATGACACGCCTTGTGGCAGTCTCCCATGCTTCTTGATACTCTGCAGATGATAGAGACAAGCCAGGCCATCTTTTCCAAGCAACGGTCGCCTTGATCCAACGCCTTTTCCCCTCACCGTTGAAGGGGTATGTCAACGTTTGCACCTCAGTAGTAACGATGCAAAAAAAAAATGAACAAGAGTCAGATTCCAGCAACCTGCGCTCAGCTATGCTGAATCACCCCTGAGCACCACGACAAAATCTGGAAACACGTAGAGTTGTCCTACACGCAGCTCCAGTTGGATGATGCCAGGTTGCACCAAGTCATCTTTGTCCGTGGTGCGATCCTTGAGCAGCTTAGCTCAGCTTGGGAAGGGCACAGGTGTTTTATAGAAAAAGCCAAGTCTCTCCCTTCCATAGCAGGTTGTGCAAACCATCATGAAAGCCATAAGAGCCCTTTGTTGGCCTGTGAGTCTGTGAGCAAATCATACCCTTGCTGTCTGTGTTGCATTCTTTCAACACTTGGAGATTTCCATAATCATGGGGGTATCCCAATAGCTGGATGGTTTATTTCATGGAAACTCCCAAACTAAAATGGATGATAGCTGGGGGGTGCCCCCACTTCGCAAACCTCCATATGTCATGCTGTCTGCAAGTTTCAACCCCCGCCGCCTTTCATGGTTTTCACAGCTTAACGATGCTGGCAAGTCCAAGTCCATGATGCACCTAATCGGTGCTCAGATTTTTCACGCGTGGCTGTGGGGCCAAAATGACACGCCAACGCCAACGAACTGAGTCTCGAACGAAAATCCGTCTCTTGACTTTTGATTTCGATATGCCCTGGGTCAACAGAGTTTAGTGTTGGCGACCTGGGGACTTCTGCCTACCTTATCCAAGGCGCAGCGGATTGTGACAATCCCCAAAACCAGTATGTTGGGATTTGGCTAGCATTGCATAATTAGATACAATTAGTATATCCGTGTATATCCCCCATATAATCATCACCTGGGGTCTTGGAAATTGGAAACTGCCCATCTTGGACTTTGACACAGGAGGGCTGTAGTCACCCTGCTGCTGCGTGACGCCACAGACCTGGCTGCAGTCAAGGGTAGCGTCAACAAATCTACAGCTGTCGAAATATGTCGAACATATTTGTTAAAAATCTTCAGAAGTGGACATCATCTCCATCGTTTTTTTTAACATCAAAACTACCGTTGTACAGGTAGATGATGCCACCGGGACTTTGCCACCCCCAGCCTGATCAAGCTCCAAGGCGAAATCTTGGTGCCCACAGAGTGCCGCGCCGAGAATTCGGCACAGCTCCAGCCTGGGCCGGGCCCACTCCGGTGGAAAATCAAACAGGGCAAGGGGAAGTCCCCCAGAAATGGAGGTTTTTGAATGGGAAAATCATGGAAAATCATGGAAAATGTTGCCATGTTTGCTTACCGAAGGATACCGAAGGGTAGATCACCCCATGATCACCTTCAAGTCTGAGGACAGAACAAGCAAGCTTGGAAGTCTTTATCTGGACCTCCACAACGAACAAACACAGGGAACGTCATCCAGATCAAATCCAGGAGGATTCATTGTCCACATCCAAGGTCCAAGGTGCAAGGTGCACCACTGGGATCCTGACTTGGTATCACAGCGCACCTGCATGATTGGAACAGCGTTGTCAAACTCAATCACCACTGGAGAACTCTCAACATATGTGGTCACTAACAGGTGCACAATGCTTCCTGCAGTACAGTATCCATCTGGTTGTCTCACAGTGTCTGTCTTCAGTCAACCCAACAGTCATCTTCCCCACCTGTCTGGCTTCTGCGAGTCCAGTTGTTGCCTTAAACGAAACAGCACCGCCTCCAGGGTTGGCAAATTCTGCATGTGTTGACTGCTGAGTTTGCAACTGATGTCGCCTATGCATGAATGTGTAAATATATATATATATGTACATATATACATATTCACATATATATATATATATACATATATATATATATATATGTGCATGTATATAATTATAATATATATATACATATGTATATATTATACAATATATATAATTATGTCATTATATGTCTATGTTATAGATAATATGTTGTGTGTGTGTGTCTGTTTGTATAATGTATATTAGACGTAGTCGTTAAATAACCTCGGTTTTGGCTGGAGCATCTCAACAGTTGGTGCTGGAAAGGCCTCTGGAACAGCAGCTCGGGCAATCGAGCTATACACAAACCTCAGGAACCGAGTACGCCAAATCAGTTGATCCGACACAACATGTCTGTGGAATATTGTGAAATCAAAGCCGGCCTTCTGTATGCTTTACAGCAGCAGTATTACCCTCTGGTAATTTCCATGGTAATTTCAACATAACTATGGAAAATCACCATTTGTAAGAGGTAAAGCGTCTATAAATGGTCCGTTTTCCGTAGCTATGTCAAATTACCAGCGGGTATAGTCATCACCAAATAGATGGAAAAGTAAATCCGTACTAATTTGATGGTGATTTACTTTTCCATCTATTTGGGTATTACTATACATAGATATAATTATATCTTATACATCATATAAGTGTGTATATTATATATATAAAAGCAATATGTATATATATATATAATTATATTATATAATTATATATATAATTATATATATATAATTATATATATATAATTATATACTGTATATAATTATATATATACTCTACTGATCAACCACAGCCACCGCTTCAGCTTCAGTGACGGCCACAGCTCACATGGCAAGCGTTCAGAGTCCTGCGGGGATTTCAGAAAAACTGCCAGGCTCTGGGCCTGTAGCTGGTTAGTGGTTTCAACCCCTCTGAAAAGTATGAAAGTCAGTTGGGATGATGACATTCCCAATATATGGAAAGTCATAAAAGCCATGTTCCAAACCACCAACCAGGTAGCCATTTGATAGGGAAAATTATGATAATCCAATGGATTTAGGCTATGCTACTTTCAGACAAACCCAAGGTGTGTAAGAGTATCGTGCAACACATTTGCAATGGTCTCATTCCAACACTTGCCGCAACACACGCAACTTGCTCCTGCAGCTTCAAAGCACTTCGTTGCCTCAACAGCAAGCTGTATAGATCGCATCGATACCAATGAGATCTGCAAATACATCAGATCCCTGCACAATATGGGATAGTTACCACCATGTGGGATATGAATCGTGGAATGATATTGGGTTATATATTTAACCCGAAGAACCACCGCCACTGGTGATAACTTATCGATAATTAATTGACTAATAGTGGGATAATTACGCCAATCACCATTCTTCCAGAATTCCGTCGCAACGTGAGGTCCTGATTTATTGTTACCCAAATGATTCCCATTCTATCCCACTATATCATACTATATCCCCATTGTATCCCCACTATACCAATCTATACGACCATTCTGTTGTTTAAATCATGTTAAATCATGTTAAATCATGTTAAATCATGTTAAATCATGTTAAATCATGTTAAATCATGTTAAATCCCAAAGAATCTCAGGCTCCTGCAGCAAGCCAGCAGCTGAAATCAACGGCACTTCCGCTGGCGCCTTCCACACCTGCTACGTAAACCATCAAATTTCGATAGCACTCCCGTTTATTAGTTTATTAAATGTTCATTGGATTTAACGCTCTCTTGGCTGAGAATTATATAGATCTTTTTTGGGGTGAAATCTGTGGTGTGTGTTTCTCCTGTGTTCACCACTGATGCCTCTGTGAGCTGCATTTCCCGTTCCAGCTCTGCAGCACGATGAAGTGCAGCATCACGTCTTCGCTTGGCCTATTGACACCCCAGGGACTTAGAGCAGGGAGGTTCAGTTAGGATACCCCGGAAATGCTGCCATCACAAACTCATGAGAAGCCTCTGGGGGATCTCTGGGTACAGAAAATATGCAGGTGATCCCACAAGGAAGTCTGCTTCACTGGTTCTGAAGCTACCGACGGAACACTCTGGCACCAATCCTGACCCATTCTGCACAACTTGAGAGGAAAGTGTATCCGTCGTCCATCACGCCTGAGCTATCTCAGCCCGGATCTGCAAAAGATCCATTTGTTGCAAACTAATGTACTCTCATTTTTTGCATGTCCTTGTACAATTTGCACCCGTGTTTTTTTTTGCAACTCTTCCGTGGTAGAATGCAAGGGTGGATTCAAGCTGCAAACTACCCACCTATATAAAAGATTACAACAAATGAGTTTGTTCTAGAAATTCTACTGGCATAGATGACAGCTTTGTGACTGCAGCTGTGCCGTTGAAGGCTGCAACAATCCGTACGGGCCACTACTTCTGTTGTTGACATGTGTTTGCATCTTTTTGAGCAGGATATGGAAGCTAAAGCGGCGGGGCTGCAGAGTTCCAAGCCAACTGCATCCAACTACAGGTGAAAGGCCAATGCTGCTCTCTCATTTTCTTGGAAGCCTTCAAGATCTTCAAGATCCCTGCTGATTTAACCACCGACATTTTGGAAGTCACCCGTAACCCGTAGTTTGCCATGCTGAAAACTCCTTCGGCGACTCATTTTTCTTGGCGGCTGCATCTTCCAGCATCTTCCCAAGCACCTCCACAGACCATGCCGCCATGGTGTGCCACCACAGTTGATCGGTTTTTATCGGCACCAAAATAGAACTAGCATGAACTAGCAAAGAACTTGGAATTGTCGTATATATAATGGCTATGTAACGGCTACATAATGGCTATGTAATGGCTACGGAATGGCTATATAAAATGTATAAATGCTACCAGAACCTGTTGAAACGGCTTGTAGATGCTTGCAAGTGATGGCAAATGTTGACCATGCCCGCTGGCAATCATGGTCCGCCTTCTCCTGGTTAGCAATGAAAAGACTTGCCCGGCCTCATGGTCAATCAAGATCAAGCTCCTTGAGACCGATCTGCTGGGACTGGTGGTGCACTGACTGGTACTGCAAGCATCTGCTCGCTGCAGTGCTGGTGCCGATGTTTTGCTACTGGCACTGTGCTATGGAACCTGGCCGTGTCAGTCTTTGTGGAGTGTGGGAGCTCCAGGTTGGCAATGCAATGCTGGCCATGGCCCCATGGCTGGCCACATCTGGCGACGCTGCGGTTGGTGAGTGGTACAGGTCAAGAAGGTCAATGACATGCCTTGCGCGTCAGCATCCTGTGCTTCTGGATGCTTCTGGATGCTTCTGGATGCTGGACATTTCTGGCCCTTGCAAGTTCCATCACTTTCCAAAGAGCCACTGGTCATCTGCGGAACGCCAGGACCTCGCAGGACCTCGCAGGACCTCGCAGGACCTCGCAGGACCTCGCAGGTCTGCACCGTGGAGTCTTCGTTACCGAGTTGGGCTATGGTCGGGAAATCCAGGCCTCAGCTTGCAGAGACCAAGAATTGAGGAACTCTACAGTGATGTGAGTACCAGTGTATCATAATAAATCAACACCAGGTCCACTTGATGAGGCCGGTGCCAAATGTGGATTTCCAGGAGAATTGAAGAAACTCATTGGCCTAAGTCGATCAGGCAGTGAACAGAACTTTCAAGTCACCCTTGCACTCGGCCTTGAATCCGTTTGCAGTGTTCCTCAAAAAAATAGAAAGGTAGTTAGGTCATTTGCCAATTGTCAAATTCTAGTAGGATTTTACGGGTCAATTTTTGGGGGTTGCTATAATACTGTGGATGCAGATGCAGCTCCCTATGGATATCTACTGATTCAACAAGCTAAGAGCGTGGCACATTCCCTTTCACAACCGCCTCTGCTTTGGAGGCTCTCTGCAACGCTTCCGAAATCTCCTTCAGTTGGATTGCTGACATTTGACATTCAGTCCACTATAGGAATTATATAGGAATATATATATATAGGAATATATATATATAGGAATATATATATATAGGAATATATATATATAGGAATATATATATATAGGAATAAATATATATATATACGTATAGGAATATCCATCCTGAACATTCCAGGTCAATGCCGTGATCCTCCGCTGGCAGGGCTCGTGCAGGTGGCGCCGCTGGCGGTGCAGGGGTCTGCAAGAACCTGACCCGAAGCATTGCTGGTAGTTCATTGACTCATGGATCTTTCATCCTGGAGTTCAATATATATACATACATATATGGGGATGGGTCAAAACCCTGGTACCGTGCCGTGAACCCCAAGTCATAGCTGGGATTTATGGATGTTCATCCCACTATAGTAATCTATCTATAGGTATTGACCCATACCAATATGGGAGGGGATTCGATAGATCTGGAAAATCATAACTTTTGAAAGCTGTCCGATCAACAAAATTAGGAAACAAAAACAACATTTGAATTGTTTAATGACTAGTTAGGATTAATAAGTCCCCCCCTTAGCAAACCAACAAACATCGAAAGCCTACCAAGAGATCGGGTCCCAGGGCACTCTACGGGGCGCCTCGGCTCCTGCGGTGGCCCATAGAGCCGAGCGATGACGTCCGGAACCTCCTCGAGGTGTTGTACATGGATGGATCATGATGGATCTATGGGTGTATGGACTTACAAGTATCATCAAGTATCTAAGTATATGGATTGATGATGATTTATGTATTTTTGGAGTTGTGCATTCATGGATTTATGGATGTATGTATTTATATGTGTATGTATATATATATATATATTTATTTATTTATTTATTTATGTATTTATTTATTTATGGGTTTGTGTATTTAATGGATGTATGATATATTAGAATTGTGCATCTTGTGTAGATATGCACATAAGTTCAAGGGCCGTCAAGTCTGATACTCCCAGCGAAACCAGTGCAACTGCCATGTCGACCGCACCTGACCATGAGCCTGCAGAACTTGCCCCAAAGGTTGGACTCCTGCGCAGTCGCATCGTAGGTGATCAAGTAGGGACAAAATTCTGGCATCTAAAAAGAATATATATATATATATATTCATATACAGGATCCCCAAACTGTGATAGATGTGAATAGATGTGCTTGTTCTGTTCTAGTGATTCCAGTGGTTGAGGATGGTTGGGGTATCCCTCGAAATTGTTGGACGCACTATGAACTGAGGGTGGAATTCTGGGTGTATTGATTTATGGAGAATCACGAACACACCTTCCGTGCCAAAGGACTGAGAAGTGTTCAATCCTTGCAACGCTGGCTGTGGTGGCAAGCTGTAGCCGGGTGAAATTGGAAGTTGCACAGTCCTAAGGCAGAAAACATCCAAAAAGACTCAAGACAGACACACTCACCAAAAAAAGCATCTCAGATGGTGTCAAGAATCAAAACATGCTGATTCACAAGCCAAGAAGCGTGTGTTTCATGGCTCTGGTTGGGCTGTCATTCCTTGTGTCCGCCTGAAGAAAATCGAACTTCCCGCAAATGTGGCTGGTCAACGTTCGCAACTCATCCAGCCTGCTGGGGCACCCGCCCAATGCCGGGCATCGGCATCGCACCGACGGCTGCAGTTTCAAAAGCTGCTGCCTGAGGCTGTCTCAAAGGTGGGAAGCCCATCGATGAATCAAACCTTTTCCATATTTTTCCATGAGAAAAAGGCAATGTTTTTCGATTGCCATAGATTGCCATAGATTGCCATAGATTGCCATAGATTGCCATAGATTGCCATAGATTGCCATAGATTGCCATAGATTGCCATAGATTGCGAGATTTTGCCACCACTTTCTGGGTTGCCCTGTGGATTTCTCACTGCCATTCCTTTTTCCACATGCCCCAAACGCATGCCATGGATGAAACATTGGTTTGTCCCAAAACAAGGTACCCTGTTCTCCAAGATCAATTCATTTCATCATCACCAGATCATCACTTTCCCCGGTACGAGTAGAATAGCAATTCTGGACATCATCTAGTATTGGAATTGCTATTTACCCTAAAATCAATGTCTTATCTATTAGAACTGCCACTATTTGCCATTTGGAGTACACCCACACAGCGTTTCTAGACATCCGCACATCCTGCACCCATATTTGAGGTCAATACTCCCACGTTTCCTCCAACCTTCAGGACCAACACTCATTTTGTGCGTTGAAAGACCACGAAAAAACACCCTACTATGATGGTCACTATGAAGATATCTATACAAGTCCTAAAGATCTAGTATATATTGCAGCCTGTTACCAGTATCAGCGGATGAACAACATGTTGGAACATGTTATTATCTTATGGCCAGTTGTCGCCTGTGCAAAGCTCAAGAAGATCAGAGATTCGCCATGGCGTTTCATGTCGATGAGCCTCGCTGAAGTGTCACAACCCCAGCGCAAAAAGCATCTTTTTCACCACTGTCTGAGAATGGGGTATACCGGGTATATACCGTATACCCCCGAAAATGGCCATGAAAAATGGGGAACATGATGATATATGATGAATTATGATGATATGTTGATGATATGTTGATGATATGTGATAATTAGGCAATGGAGGGATATCTCATTTTCAGATATTTTCAGACAGACCCACTTGTAGAAGGGAGATTCAATCGACTGCGATTCAGCACCAAGTGCACCTTGTCATGCTGAATTGGCGCCTTGGAATTTGCACTGCAACTCGCTGGTGTCCAACACGTGCCTTTGAGTAAAATGATTTAAGGTCGCTAAGAAGTTCCCAGTCTGCCAAGATCAACATCTTAACATCTCACAACTGACTATACATCATTTTACATCTACAGATATCTACAGTATCTACCCTCGACATCTTCCCTGTTGGAGGGTTTCGATGCTTTAGCCTTTAGTGGGTCTCGCTGAGGCAGAAACTCCACAGAGCCTTGCGCCAGCTTCATGACCTCACGACGCTACGGTTTTGGTCGTTCGAATTTTTTGCCGCTGATCATCCTGGAATCTCCTGGATCTATGGATATCTAGAGATATCCTGGATATCTATGGTCAGACGATCATCTTCAGAGTCTTGACAGAACTGAACATATTCATCATTTGCAGAATTTCATGGCAGTTTCACATCAGAACTGGAGACCCCTAGCTGCTGACCCGCTGACCCGCTGACCGGCCTCTTGGAATTCCAAGGCAAAATCCGCGAGCTCATCCCAGTTCCTCACAGGTTTCTAGGTGGTCATGAGACGTCAGATTTGGGGATAGCCTAGTCACTATATGGTTGATGGTCATCCCATCCATAATAAGGATCCTTATATTATCCTTATAATGGTTATTATAAATCCCTATGAACCATTGGATGACTAGCCCCGTTTTTAATGGTTATTAACCATGAGTATTGACCATAGCTCATATGGCTGCGATGTCTCCTGGTAACTCCTAAAGCCACCTCAGAGCACGCCACGATGCGGAGGAAGAGGTCTGGCCTCTGGTGATGCTTCGCTACCAAAATCACGTGTCCTTTGCGGAAATTGCTTTTGGAAACCCGTTTGTTTCTGGTCATGGAATAATGGAATATAATCGTCATATTATGGAAACAATAGGGCCGTCTTCACTGTAACTCTTGTTGCCTTCGGCAGAATCATACAACACACATTTGTGTCGTGGCAAGTTTGGCCATCCAGAGGGACGCCCCTTGTGAAGCGTCCAAGCCCAGAATTGAGGAGCCGCTTGAGTTTCCGACTCCGGCACAACTTTCAGAACAACTGGTTGCAGCCAGTGTGGATCGGTGTGGCAATTGTTCAGCGTCTCGGTCCTTCGTTCGCAAGCTTCGCATCCCAGATTGGTAAGTGGCCCATAGAACCACAAGATTAAGTGGGGTATCCGGGTATACCCTAAGTATCCCTAGGTAACCCCATCTAACTGGGGTATATCCTGTATACTGGGTTATAATATGTTATAATATGGTTCTGGATGGTTCTGCTATGGTTTCCAAGCCCCCAGCTGGCCAGTGGCTACCTTCGCCGCGCGACCAAGGCTGCCCAAGCGAGGATCGCGGCTGTAGATCTGAGTTTCGCTGCAGGGACCCAAGCTTTCTCTGGACTCTGGACTTTCTTGAGGCTCCAACAGAAGCCTCTACGAAGGGATTGAAGGTCCATGCCTTTGAAGGTTCACAGGTGCTAAATTATATATATATATAGATAGTTTGAGCGCGGCTGAATGTTCGTGCGCACGAAAATGAAAGGAGATATTGTCCCAAGAATCCAATATCAGTCATTATATCCATGCTCTCTTGTCTGTGTGGGTGTCAGCAAGAAGTAGCAGTCTTTTCAGGATACGTTCAGGCCTCGCTTTTTGGCGCTAATCCAGTCGCAGAGCTGATGTTGATACTCAAAGATGCCTGGGAACTCAACAGCATCTTCCCTATTTGTCCATGTAAAATGGCGGAAAAAGAGTGCCACATTCCAAGCTGTTTTGGGCACATTCCAAGCTGCAAAATTTGCTGTGCGCCTCAGGCATGATCTCGGCAAAGTGTAAGGAGATTTCTGCATTTGTCCCTGGCATGAGAGCCAGGGCGGGGTTTTTGAAAAAAAATGTCTACCGACAAAGGGAACAAAAGAATGGGACATCATGGGAAATCATGGAAAAATCATGGGAAATAATGAGAAATCAATGGAAATCACTTAACCAGTCAGATCTTCTCAGCTGGATTTACCATTGATCAAGCACACTCGCCATTGCCACGCCTGTACCGTCCAAGCAGCGCAGGTCTAATCTCACAGAGCGCCCAACAGGATCAACAAAGCCCTGGCAGGTGTGCACAGCTACAGAAGGACCATGCCTTTAGATGCCTTGAGTTCAAGGTTCACCTTCATCACTTTCTTTATGTTTCCGCACGTTTGCCTTCAGAGAAGGGTATGTCTCCAACGCCTTTGTGGGATTATCTGTCAGCTAGTGGATGCAAGTGATCATCGAGAATCTTGTTGTTTTTTGGTTTGTGTGTTCAAACGTCTTGCTGTTTTTGTTCCAAAAATATGTCCACCAGCTTTGGTGCTCACGGTGCCAATCCGTCCTGCGACAGCTTTTCCCTGAGCTCCGCAAAGGGCTCCTGGTTGAAGCCCATACCGGAGCGGATCACCTGTCAGCACAAAGGAGCACCTGGACCTTCAACAAAAATGTGTGGATCGTGGATCAACAATTATCAACACATGGATCAACTTCAGAGATTGGCAAGATTTGAAAGTAAAGGATTGGAAGAGTAAAGGAATGGTAAGATTTGGGGGCTGGAAAGATTGGAAAGGTCAAGGCATTCGAAAAGACCAATCAGAAAACCCAGATGAAACATCTAGCCATCTAGTCATCGACAGCTGAAACAAACGTCTTGCCATATGCCAGCATCTGCCTTGCAGTTGACCGCCATATCGGTCTCATCCTCAGGAGCTTTTTCTACACGTTTCTCCCTCCAAGTCTTCCGAAAAATAAATCATCTCCAAGCCAATCCGCGTTTACTAAGCACTCAGCATCCCAGTCCAAGCAAATGGAATTGTGGAAAATGGGGTCAGGACCTGGCACTGTGATACTGTGAAGACATGTGAAGACAGAAAAACCGCTCAGATCTGCTGTGATTTCACCACGTGCCAAGCCGACCACTTTTGACATCGGATCTTCCGGTCACCTGAGCAGTGCAAAAAAAACCTCGGTTGATGGTAGGGGAACATTTCATGAGTATGGGATTATCCACTATTAAGTATCTACTACTTAAATATCAAGGTGGCTCGGCCAGATCCTCGGCCATGCTCGGCCAAGGTGCCAGGACACAGCCGCGTCCCTCGTTGGCCAATAGCTCCACTTCCACGAGGAAGGCGTCCTCCGGCAGGCTCTCGGCACGGATGACGTGGATCCAGCGATGAAAGCCTCGATTGAAAAGCCGCTGTTCATGACTCATGACTCGCCAAAAACTATGGTTATACATGGTTATACATGACAAATTGTATATTCTATAGTATGTGTTGACAATTTGTATATTCTATAGTATGTGTCAAAAAAAAGAACATGATCATACATGTTTCACGGTTGTTGATTGAGTAATTAATGTGGTTAAATTATGTTTGTCACACTTAATCACCTTCTATTCCCATCATTGTCTCATCTTTCGAGACTCCGGCTGGGTCTCAATCCGCCAAACTGTGCCACCAGTGTCACGGGGGGACCTGGTAAGCCGCCCATGATCCATGGGAAAGCCTTGGGATATAACCAACAAAACGGGGATACTGGTGATATAGTGGATGGGGATACATGAGGATACGCGGATTCTAGTGGGATATATATATAATATTATATATATAGATAGATAGATTTAATATGATTTAATTTAATAATTAATATGGGAATTATGAGATGATACTCGGGATTTACAATGGTGAATCATAATGGGGATAAGATACAGGGGTATTTATATTGAGATTTATATGGGGATATAAAGTGGGATATATCACGTTAATTCTGAAGTCCTTTTGCTGGACCCATCGAGCCTGCAGGGCCAGTGGACCCGAAGTGAAACTTAATGCATCTTGGATCATCTTGGAGCCGAGTATAGGTCAAACATGGTCAAACTCATTGATCTCCAATATGATTTACATGGATCATGGATTCCAATGGATGCATTTTGATACTAATTCTGACCAACTGACCAATTTCGCGGGTCCAATGATACCCCATGTTTGAATGTTTCTGACCCATAGCCATCTCATGTTTTTGCTGCGGAGCTCAGGAGGATGTTTACTGAGCTTCATGCGGACAAGAACTTTTGACTGGTCAACGGCAAAGGGCTGCATCTGAAAGCGACCTCATTCTGTTGGATCTCTGGGAGAGGGATCAGCTCTGCACATGTCCCACTGGGGGAAGCCACTGGGGGAAGCCACCAGGAAGAACCCACGGTTGAAATGTTGGGGGATGTTGGGGGTATCCCCCGTGGTGACTGCCTGCCATCAGAATGATCCTTTTCTGATCTGCGCAGGAGATTCATTGTACAATGGAGAGACTGCTTTCTGCATGCAGTTTCTCCAGCAATTCCCTGCAAATCAGTGGAGTTTACACAAAGGGACATTCAACAGTGTTCTACTTTAAGATAGAAGCTCATCTGCAAAGCCAACCATAAAATGTCGGACAAGTTGCTACTTTGTGGTTTACACGCATCCCAAATATTTATTTCATCACCATCGTTCAGCCACGATCTCATTGGGTCAGGGCTCTGCATTGGCCAGTTCGGCCAGCACGTCTGCATGACAGGCCTCCGGTTTGCACCAACAGCCCAAGCGAAAGTCACGCAGTTCTGACAATTTCTCACGGAGAGGTTGGCCGTCCTTAATGGCAGGAAGGGATCCACCAATGTGCCCAAAAAAACATAGCTCTATATTCTATACGTGTCTCTACGTGTACATATGTTCATAAATGTGTGTGTGTATATATATATAGTATATATATAGTATTGCAGGATATGTGTCAAATGCGGCTCCAAAAACTTGGATGAGGAAAACATAGATGTCTGGATTGGTTTTACGTTTCCCGGCAACAAATGGATCAAAATCTAAGACCCAGGGAGCCACAGTGTCATTTTTTCATATTACCATGATCTAGCAAGCATCCTAGCCGGAATATATGAAAGATTGCCCTTCTATAGACACATTTGAAATGTCTTGAAATTCAAGAATCCCTTTCTTTTGCTTGAACATGTTCAGGTACGATATAGGTCTGAGGGATTGTCTGCCAATGTTTGGGTGACAAAAATGACAAAAGCAGACATGTGTGAAACCACTAAAAGTTCGACAGAGCATCCCCATCTTTTAAGGACCCATCCAGCAGCGCGCTGCGAAACTTCTCACACGCCATCTGTCGCGATGTGGTTTTGGAGACTGCGAATGGATTCTGCCATTTGGAGCCGGGGAAGTGGAAGATGCGCTTGGAGCTTCCATCATGGATGAAGATGCGGCCACGGCGGCCCACGTACAGATTTCCTTTATCTTGGAGCCATGTTTCAAAGTCCTGATATCCAGCTGCCCTGAGACTTGCTACTTTCACAGAGACCGCTATGCACTTTGACTTGGGAGCAGTTGCTTCCACCGCCGTTTTTGTCCGTTTCCCCGATGCAGCCTCGCTTTGTCTGGTAGCGGCACTGGGGCGCTTCACCATCTGAATCCGAAGCCGGAAGCCGAGTGCTTGAGCCGAAAAGCTTCATCAGTTGCCCAGTTGGCCTCAAACTGCAAAACATTGCTGTGGGTTCACTTTTGAAGCCATCTGATGAAGAAAACTTTCCCTGATTTCACTGTTGATTTGCATCTTTGGGCCTTTTGGATTTGTCATCCCTGCGTTTTCAATTCTGGGTGCAGTGCAATCCCAAAAAAGTGATTTTATCTGCTACAAAAATGGTGCACCCCTAAATTGGTGTGTCTGATGAATAAGGAACCCACCAAAACACTGGTTCATCATCATCATCATCATCATCAATTTCTTCCATGTTAAAGGCTCCATTTGGCTGGTCACATCCCATCTAAAAATGCAATGAAATGCACACCCCTCCCACCACATGAAATCCACAAACGATGCTTGGTATAGCCTGGTAAACGCCCAGGGCGGTGACCTCAACCCACCGCCCGGACCGCCGGGACCGCCCGGGCTAAGCGTCCGGACGCACCTGGGGTGCTCGGAGCATGTCTAAGACTTCTCCCAAGGTCAGCAGCAGTTCGGCCAGGGGGCCCAAGCCAACGCCGAAGCGAGTGTCGCTGAGGATGACGTGCACATAGAGACCCCTCCTTTGATGAAAATCTGCGAAGATTCTGTGGGGGATCCCAAAAAGCCAATGAAATCCTCGAAATGAAGCCGGTATTTCCTGAGTTTGGAAATAATCGTGAAGTAATCAAGTACATACCACACATACTATGAGATAAAGTGAAACAAGTACTTTCGGCATCACAAGTGCCTGTATCAAGTGTGCCAGTTAGACCACAAGCAGCTGTTCGCATTGCTGCCATGTTTTGTCTGGCGGAGGGAATCTTTGCACGCGCTATTCCCAAAAAACACACTCAAAAATACATCAGCAGTGGTTCAAAGTCCTTGTGCCTTCCGTTCGAATGGTACGACTTGATTTGAGGTTCCATTCATGATCAAGGCAATCACTCCCAAGTGGCTAGGAGTCCAACCCGTCTAACCCTACCAAGTAGTAAGAACAGAGCTGCACAAGGAGGTTGGGCACTGCAAAAATACGCCTCTGTTGACCAATGCTGTTCCGCAAGCAGACTCTACAAGCAATGGCCATGGCAAAGGCGCTGTCTTTTGCACTGGTGCGTGCCTTTTGCACTGTGATCTAAACTCGAGTTTTCCAATATATGTATGTATATATGTATATATATATATGTATATGTATATATATATATATATGTATATGGTTATATATGTATGTATGTATGTATATATATATATATGTATATGTATATATCTATATGTATATGTATATATCTATATGTATATGTATATATCTATATGTATATGTATATATATATATGTATGTATATATATATATGTATGTATATATATGTATATGTATATATATATATATATATGTATGTATATATATATGTATATGTATATATGTATATATATATATCTATATGTATATGTATATATCTATATGTATATGTATATATATATATGTATATGTATATATATATATAGGTATATGTATGTATCTATATGTATGTATATGTATATATATATATATGTATATATATATGTATATGTATATATCTATATGTATATATATGTATATATATATATATATGTATGTATATATATATATATATATGTGTATATGTATATGTATGTATATGTATATATCTATATGTATATGTATATATCTATATGTATGTATATATATATATATGTATATGTATATATCTATATGTATATGTATATATATGTATATGTATATATATATATGTATATGTATATATCTATATGTATATGTATATATATATATGTATATGTATATATATATATGTATATGTATATATCTATATGTATATGTATATATATATGTATATGTATATATCTATATGTATATGTATATATATATATGTATATGTATATATCTATGTGTATATGTATATATATATATGTATATGTATATATCTATATGTATATGTATATATATATATATGTATATATATATATGTATATGTATATATCTATATGTATATATATATGTATATGTATATATATATGTATATGTATATATATATGTATATGTATATATCTATATGTATATGTATATATGTATATATATATATGTATATGTATATATCTATATGTATATGTATATATATATATGTATATGTATATATCTATATGTATATATATGTATATGTATATATATGTATATGTATATATCTATATGTATATGTATATATATATATGTATATGTATATATATATGTATAAGTATATATCTATATGTATATGTATATATATATATGTATATGTATATATATATGTATGTATATGTATATATATATGTATATGTATATATCTATATGTATATGTATATATATATGTATGTATATATATATGTATATATCTATATGTATGTATATATATGTATATGTATATATATATGTATATGTATATATATATGTATATGTATATATATATATGTATGTATGTATGTATGTATGTATGTATGTATGTATATGTAATATGTATATACACACACATAGATTACATAGAAATTGTCAGAAAATCTTATATTATATATACTATGATATATCATGTGAAATCATAACATGATAAGACATCCCAGGTGCTCCAGTGCCGTTGTCCAGGGCAGCGCTGAAACTTGGAAACAGCTCCTGCCCTCAGGATCCTCAGGCTCTGACGCCATTGGATTGTGAGATCTGCATGATTTCTGCAGTTCGCTTTCAAAATCAAAACAAACTGAGCACCAATTGGTGCCAGATTTTTAAAAATTGGAGATATTTATCATAGTCTTTGGCCACCCAAAAAGTGGTGGCAACTCTCAAAGGGCTCCGGAGCCGGAGGCCCTCATGTCACGGATGTCGCGAGCAAAAAGGCTGCGACCCAAGGCCGTCTGTGCCAGGCCGGAAACGATCAACGACGTCATCTTCCTCAGCCGCCAGACTGTTTCGGGCCACTAGGAGACATCTTGGGGATACCCTCTGGTAATTTAACATAGCTATTGAAAATGGCCACTTATAGTGGATTTACCCACTGAAAATGGTGATTTTCCATAGCTATGTTAGTTTACCAGAGGATATTCATCCTGATAGTATGACAAAGCCCATAGAAACTCAGGATGTACCATGGATGTACCGACTCCAAACCTCCAACTGACAGACCAAGTCACTTGGTATCCACCCGGAAGAGCTCTGAAGGCGGCTCCACATGGGAGGGTGGCGGCGGCCAGTGATCCTTTTGTGTCTTTCCCAGCGCTTGAATCTCAAGGCGCCACTGTTGCCACAGCACATTCAACCGCTTCTTCTCTTTCTTGAAGGCAGAGTGGGCATTCTGACAGAGAAATCAACGAAACACTGGCTACAGTTTGGCAGGCCATAAAAGCATTGCCAGCAAAGTAAGTAGATTAAGTAGGCACTTCACACAAAAGCAAGATGCTCATTGACATCTTTGACATGCAGATTGCAAAAGCACAAAGCGCACCTTCCATCGCTCAAGCGACTGAAGAAAGGCAAGGCGAACCACGTTTCTGCGACTCTCCAAGTCAAGTCTGTAGTGATCCTCGCTGCTGAAAGAGGCCAGAAAGGCTTGATTATTGATGTGTTTGGAGACATGGCTTGATATATTTGGATATATTTGATATATTTGGGCGACCATCACATCAGCAAAAGTGTTGAATCTAAACCTCAACCTCCTGAAATGTTGTCTCAACTCGTTGCGTAGCTCTTTCGCTCACTTCGGTTTGGATTCTCATGTTTAGCCCCCTCAGCTTGTAGAAGCTGCAGCCGGAAAATACCCTCCAGGGACAGCAACAAAGGCCATGAGGCGATGCATCATGATGCACCCTGGAAAAAAAATATTCCTTGCATCTTAGTGACAATAGGAATACAGTCATACTTTCACATGTAGTGGTTTGCATATATATTTACATGATACAGAAGTCCTCCCAAACAGTCCACAAAACTCAGCTCAGACTCCAGGACGTGGTTGGCCACGTTCCATGCCTGCTGCTGTTTGCGATCCGTGCCAGGGTTGGAGTTGGAGATGGCTTCCCCGAGCTCGGAAAAAAAGACTTGCCCCTCCCTGTTCCTTGGCGCCCACGAGAAAAGCCAGGGCCGCCCGAGCCAACGGGAAGCTATGAAGCTCTCAAAAATGATCGAAAAACCAAAAGGTGTTCATATTTGTTCATAATTGTTCATATTTCATTACCGGAAAATCAGAAATCAAGCTAATTTGTGCCACATGTTTAATCACAGCTATATAATCCTTTTATATAATACCTTTTAATTAATAATCCTTTCAAGTTCATGTCAAGGTGCTGCCCTGCCCGAAGTGCACCGCGCCGGCGACGGTCAGGCTTTCCTGGTTTGGCCTTGCCAAAGATGAATTTGATGGGAGTTCAAAAAGGAGTTCTTTGGAAAATCTGGGAAAAGTCTTTTCAGGGCAGCTGATTTGTTTGACTATTGACTAGTGACAGAAGATCTATGATACTTTGAGTCAAGTCTGGTAGACTGCTCTCAAAATGCCACATCGCAACTAGCTCTGTATGTCGCACAAGCCTTTGCAGCAAGCGCTTGCCGTCGCTTCTCGCCCCCTGGTCCTTTCAGTCCTTCACACACACTTGAAGCACCCAGATCGATCATCAGATCACCATAATATTCCCATTGTTGTTGGTTAACCATCACTATTAACCACTATTAACCATCATCATTGATCATCAGTTAAGTAAGTGGTTAACCACTATTAACCACTATTAACCACTATTAACCCCTATTAACCACTATTAACCACTATTAACCACTATTAACCACTATTAACCACTATTAACCATCATCATCAGTTAAGTAACCAATCAATGAAACTGAAGATCTTTCAATCCGTTCTACCTATCCTCCCGTGGTCCTTTGATTCGCCGTTCCTTGGCCAGGTCTTGCAATGCTCGTATACGGCCGTCCCAGTCCTAAAGGCATCTTTCGGTGAAGGATTTGGGCCGTTGTCGTTGGAAGGAAACCATAGGAAACCATATGAGTTCCCGTCAAAATCCTGAAAACATGTGAGTAGTTGCTACTGTTATGCTATGTTATGGTTATTGCTTTTGGGGGCCTATCGCTTTCCAGGCTTTTGTGGAAATAAGATGAAATAAGCATATTCGAGACCCAACATGAAGCCAAAATCCATTCCTAAAGAGGCTCCGAAATGGATCGAGGAGTTGTTTTATTGGTTTCATGTGTTTCGGCAACACTTCATGCTCCTTTCATTTTGCATTCATTTGCATGCATGTTCCTTCAGTTTCCTTTCATTTGCATGCATATTCCTTTCATTTTGCATTCATTTCCTGTCATGTTCCTTTCATTCTCATTTCATGTTCCTTTCATGTGTATTCATTTCCCTTCATGTCCCTTCATTTTTCTTTCATATTCCTTGCATGTTCATTCCAATGCGCATTCATGTCCTTTCATCTTCCTTTCATTTGCATGCATTGTCCTTTCATTTTGCATTCATGTCCTTTCATTTCCAAACTAAAGTTATGAAAATGGCTCTATGGCTTGGCCAGGGGACCGAGTGCAACAAATGGTTATCGCCAAGTTATCGCTAAGGTTATCGCTAAATAACCCCTCGAACATATGACATTGTTCGAAGGAAATTTGCCACAAAAACAACAGAGTGAGAGAGAGAGAGAGGGAGAGAGAGAGAGAGAAGAAAGAAAGAAAGAAAGAAAGAAAGACAGAGAGAGAGAGAGAAAGAAAGAAAGAAAGAAAGAGAGAAAGAAAGAAAGAAAGAAAGAAAGAAAGAAAGAAGAAAGAAAGAAAGAAAGAAAGAAAGAAGGAAGAGAGGAAGAGAGAAAGAGAGAAGGAGAGAAGGAGCTAAGGAGAGAACGAGAGAAAGAGAGAAAGAGAGAAAGAGAGAAAGAAAGAAAGACAGAAAGAAAGAAAGACAGAAAGAAAGAGAGAAAGAAAGAAAGAAAGAAAGAAAGAATGAAGAGAGGAAGAGAGAAAGAGAGAAAGAGAGAAGGAGAGAAGGAGAGAAGGAGAGAACGAGAGAACGAGAGAACGAGAGAAAGAGAGAAAGAGAGAAAGAGAGAAAGAGAGAAAGAGAGAAAGAGTTGTCAGAGATGTGCACAAAACACTGTAAAGCGATAGGGCTCCCCCAAAAGCGATAACCTGGGACCATAACACGACAGTCCATTAAACTTGGCGTAAACCAAGCAAATACTGCACATTCACAGAACGGGCAAAACGGATGAGAGAAATTCAACCTGTTTCCTGGAGTTGCCATATTGGCATCGAACTCGCTCGCTCGCTCTTTCTCTCTTTCTCTCTTTCTCTCTTTCTCTCTTCCTCTCTTTCTCTCTTTCTCTCTTTCTCTCTTTCTTAAAGTGGTCTTCAACCATTTTGACCGTGACTCATATGAAACTATCATCGCGATTGAATTGAGGCCATGTTTTCTGTATGTCCTGAAAATGTTCAAAACATGTTGATGCTGTTTTGATGCTGTTTTGATGCTATTTTGAAGGATTTTGTCAAGGATTTTGTCCAGGTATTCGTCCAGGCTGACTCACTTGTGAGCGTCCCATGCTTGACGGTGCTGGTTGATCTTCTGCTTGGTGTAATCTTTCGGCAGGTGTGCTTTCAACTTCTCTCCTGAGTGCTCAAAGAGCGACTAACCTGGAGTGACCAGGCCAATTTCTTATCTAACTACATTAAATTGCCAGAAATATCCATAAAATCCATAAATAACTATAAAATACTATAAATATCCATCAGTCCATCAGTCGGAATAATAAGGTTGTGCTTAAATGCCGTGTTCATCCATGTTCTTCAATGAGATCAGTGGGATTCGGTGTGTATTTCAGCGCCAGTTGAATCCAAAGATTCCAAGCAGTTGGGTTTCCAATTCCCAAAGCGATGGTGAATAAATGCAGAGCTTCACGTTGACGCGAAATCGATGAGCTGCTCGAAGTGCCCGTTGCCTTGGCCAGTCTTCTGGTTGTTCTCTCCTTCAGTATCAAAAAAGACATCCAGCTCTGCAAGATGAACTATTTGTGATTTATCCAAAAAAACAGCCAGAAGCATCATGAAAAAGGTCCTTCAACCCCAGTTAAAACTGCCTGGTTGTTCCCTTCGTATGCGGCTGGTTTGAAACTTTGAGGACCCGACAACACCCGAACGTTGGCCAGGTAAACTCCAACTTTGGAGCGGAAGTGCATCCCCCGCCAGGAGCTGTCAATGAACTGCTTGATGGCATCGGCAGCTCGATTGAACTTGATTCGCACCCTCAGACGGCTGATGAACTTCAAGATGAGCCAAATTTGGTCCCAACGTTTCCAGGCGGCTTTGCTTCTGGTAGAGCGCACCTGCAAAACCTGGGAACGCAGGAAATGAAACATGCAAATTATATAAATCAAACTAAATCCAATTAAGCGTACCGATCGCTCAAGAGTGCTTCTCAAGGTAGGAAGACTTCTGGGATACTTCCGTGTTCGACCAAAATTTCTGGAAATTCAACAGATCCAAACATTTGGCCTGGTTAAGGTGGTTAAGGGATGTGTGGCATGAGATTGACTGCGAATGTGTGACGCATTTGGAGCGCGCCAGAGTCCGCAAAGGCACCGTTAAAAATCCGTCAGTCACATCTCAAACGGAAGCTCAGCTAAGCACAACTTATCAAAACTTGCTAAAGTTCAATCTTCAAGGCACTTGTCTAAAGTCATTCATGTTCCTGCAACTCTCTTTCATGCTCTTGTGAACCAGTTTCTGTGCTCGTTGCCAATGTGCCTTTGATCGATTGGCATAGTGGTCGCCAAAGTTGTAGGATCGTGCTGCCCGTTGCCATCGGTCTCTCAGCAGAGCCTCTTGCCACATCTTTGTCACGAAAGCAAGCGTCAGCCACGAAAGCACAATACGTTGGGTTGTCGCCAATTTCTTTCGCGCATTCTTTCGTCGGCACATTTCGAAGTGATTCAGGCGCCACTCCAACTCTGCGTACTTCACATTGTGCTGAGCAACCAAAATTCGTTCATCTCTGATCCGTGCTGCTCTCATCAAGCGAAGTGACTTCTGCTCAGCTGTTTCAATACGGCCAGGACGAGTTCGTTGCGAGTCAAAGCGTGAGGCTTGATGGGAACTGGATGGCTCCAGGGAAATCTCTGGAGAAATCTCTGGAGAAATCTCTGGAAATTCCATTTCATCCAAATTTGGCCGTGACAAAGAAACCTCGATCTCCTTGAACTTGCGTGGTGTCGCCTTCCGTGGTGTGCGCGCTGAGAGCGATCCAGGTGTCTGGCTCTGCAAGAGAGGAAGATCCAGCAACAAACAATCCCGTTTGGCATCGTGTGTCACGAAACGGTCTTCAATGGCTGGAAGGACCAGGTCTGAACGATCCCGGAAGTAGTGGAGTTTCAGTTTCACCCGCTGATCAGCACCTTCAAGCTGCAGGGCTTATAGAGTTTATTTGTGTTCAAAATTGTTCAAACAGTTCAAACATCCGAAGATTTATGTCCATGAATGCATGTTCAAGTACTGTGTGAAATTGTTCAAGTACAGTAGGGTGTTGCGCAAGTCAATTAGATACACAAACAACAGGCCGTCGTTACAAACAATTTGAGGTGAGACGATGGCAGGGCATACGAGAGCGCATCGGGTCAGAGTGGAAAACCGACACTGAAACCATCCATGAACAGGTCGTAAACATGACCCTGATATACCCTGACTGATTGGAAGAGAATTCAAGTCCCATCTCGTGGTGATGTTTCTAATTTCCATCTAATTTCCATCTCAGCCATATTTACATCCCACTTAACTAACTTTCCACCTGAGATCTTGGAAAAAACGCTCTGCGGATCCAGTCTGCCAGCATCGATCTCCTCAAACTGCTTCCGAACCCGTCGCTGTGCTCGACAGGTATCCACGACATCGCCATTGCTCGCATCACTGGTGCGAGTCTTCATGACAACCTTCTGTGCCACCACCTGGGCAAACAGATGCACAACAAATGGGTGAAATTCGCATCAAAGGCGCATTCACATGTTCTTGTTTGAATTGTTTCTTCAACCGTCATAAGAACAGCAATGATTCGCTTTCTATTTCCGCATGTCTTATGAGCTTAGTGACCTGGTTGTGGGAAACCATGTCTATGTGGCTAACAAAGTTCGGCTTGCAGAATAGATTAATGGATACATGAATGATCTGATAATTTAACATAGCTATGGAAAACGGTCCATTAAAAAATATTAAACATGGTGTGATGTCCCAAGCCAGCTTAAATAGCTAAAGGGTATACATGATCTGGTCATGTTACATCTAAATCCTCTAGATTCTAATCTGTCATCATAATCCTGTGATCACCAAATGAATAGATGACGCTGGGCTGGTAAAGACCATCTTCCTGCCGAGATACGGTATGGGCTTGTCTTAAAATTTGAGAAACCAAAGATCCAGCAGTTTATGGTGACTTCCCCATTAACATCCCCATTTTGTTGGGAGCCATCCCCAAAAAATCGTCCAACAAATCCATCATATGAGTGACCCTCCAAAATGGAGCTTGCCGCTGGCACCCAACGACTTGACCCAAACGTAAACGAATTCTATCTGGTGAAAAGACTGCACAGAGGTTGTCACAAACTTTGGCATCCCCATTCCTGTGGCTTCAAAAATAAGTTCAATTTGTTTCTGACAGTTTTCATATCTTGACATACCTTAATATATTGTTTTTGCTGAAAACACACATGTCCATATGCATCCACTGGTAAGCATAGATATCATCAATGGTTTGTCTGAAGATGGGGCATGCCCCAAAGAATGAACCAAATAATTGGGGATACTGCGGTAAAACCATAAAGTACAAACCAAATTCATGGTACTAGTAGGTTTATTGTTGGGTTTACTAGATTCATAATGAAAACCTACCATATGATCATAAAGCTGCCATTTATCATCAACTGTTGGTTTACTGTGGTTTACTATATTGATTGTTTTTGTTCCCTTGGTTCATAATATATTACAGTTTCCTATATTTTCTGGGGTTACTCTATATTAGATGCTTTTCCCTATATAATCTATATATGAATTTGTCTGAAAATGGGACACACCTCCAATATCCTCCAAATATAACCATTGATCCATGGATTCAATGGATCAAAAGGGGACCAAAAAGGGGTAGCCTCTGGTAATGACTAACAGTTTTCTATTGAAAATGACCATAGAAATAGTGGATTTTCCCATTGAACATGGTGATTTTCCATAGCAAACTGTTAGTTTACCAGAGGGTAGCCATGGATTTTCCCACGTTCAACCCATATGGATCAACGCCTCCTCCACGGGGCCTCGCGCCTCCTCCACGGCCGTCGGGGCCTCACCGAAGTCATGGCAGCTGCGCTTCACTTCCGCCAGTCTCCCGCTGATCTGCTCCACCTGGCGGAGCAAAAAAAGGTCGAAGATCTAGAAATCTACAAATCTAAAATAAATAACATGTGAAGTATACAGTG